CCCCACTTCACTGATTTCATCTCCTTGTCAAAGATCAGTTGACCATAGATAGATGGGTTGATCTCTGGATTCTCAAAAAGAAAAGCTTTCATCAGAACAAGTGAAGGGAGAAAGCGGTTTATTTTCTAATGACAGCCTTGCTTTAAAAAACATAATCATATAGAAAGATTTATGGTAAAGCTTCCTAAAAACAGATATTTAAGCTCCTATTTGGGTAAACGGGGTATATCCAGTCTTAAATTTTGAGGGTATAATTGGGCATTCTTAAGAAAATCTAGTCATTCACCTTAGATGAAATGATCTCGTACTGTGTATGTACAAAACTGCAAGGGTGTAACGGGACTAAAAGGAAGCACTGGGGAGTGATGCTTATACTACTTTTAAAGACTAAGCCTGCACTCCATTTTGCTGGAATAATCTATAAGAATTAATCATGTAAAATCCAATAAAATTAAAAAGTAAAAAAAAAAAATTCAAGAACTCTTGGACCCGTTGACACTTTATCCTACATCATCTTGTATAATTATAAAATCAAAGTAGATATGTTAAGAGACCACTAACATTGCACAGAGTCAGATTTTTCTGGATTTTTTTTTTCTAATCTGGAATCATGAGGTATCAGAGGGTTTTTCCTATGCAAAGGTGCCACTGATGATACAGCATTTCTTTTTTCTTTCTTTTTTTTTATTTGAAAGGATTTTTTTTTCAAGTGACTAAACACTTGGTTATACTCTTTTTGCTCGCAGTTCCCTTGTCTTACCAGTCGGTGTCACAGAAGATTTTCCAACTATAAAACTGCAATCAAGTAGATTCTGTCTTGGCCAGTAGCACAGAACTACCCTATTATGAGGGATATTGAAGCTTTAAATCTTTTGCTGTTGTTCTTGTGTTGTACTTTTTACAACTGTCAGATTGTGAATTTAATTGTAAACAGTTTTACAGTTGTTTGATTACATAGATTTTCACATTTATTTTTTAGATATTTTAATCATGTGTTACACTATTCAGCAAATTACACAGCATTCATTAGATATATTCTGATATATCTTATACTGATTATGCTAATGAAAATACTGTTTTGAAGTTGCAGTTTTTGCTTGTTACTATTTTAAATGAATAAAATTGACCTTTATAAACTATCAAATTATAAATAGTAAAATAGACAAGTATTAAAATGTATCTTAAATCATCATTCTGAAAATTTTTTTCCTTCAACTTTTAAGTGCCTCCCTTCAGTGAAGTTCAGTTGGTAGAACACGCTCTCAGGTACAGAACTGCAAAACTTGAGGCTATAAATCTTCATGGAAGCAGACTGCCTCGTTTTCCTGCTTGGTGCAGTTTGTGGGTTCAGATCCTTATCCTTTTTGGCTAACAGTGCTGCACTTAATCCACTATGCCACCCAGGTTCCTTTTTTCCAGTATTATGACTCAACAACATGACTCGTGTTTCTTCCGCTAATGATTCTAAAATTATTTTAAAACTGAAATAAACCAGGGTTAGCAGTTTTCTGTCCTGCTAGTACCCAGGACTAGTAACTGATAGGCACTAGTAACTAGGCAGTGATAACCACTATCCTACTTCCTGGATGTGATTGAAAAATTTCCTGGATTTAAAAGTACACCTTTATTTCTAAAATGTTCAAGTCTATGCCTTAGGATCAGTATAATATCACATAGCAAAAAGACATTCTACTCTTGAAGACAATCTTCTTTTTTTTATTATTTTATTATTTTT